TGCTGCTGCTGCTGTTGCTGCTGTTGCTGCTGCTGCTGTTGCTGCTGCTGCTGCTGCGTCTTTCGTGTGGGCTCCCTGGGGTGTTGAACAAGGAAGCAAGCAGCAAAATCGACAAACATTATAAAATATAAATTGAAGAATTAACATTTAAAAATAATAATTGAATTAATTGAAATAAAAATAAAATAAAATTAATTTAAAAAGTTTATTTAATCACCTCTTCCTTTAGATCGTCATCCACTTCTTCTGCAGCAACAGTATTCGTCAGCAGCAAAATGCTGCTGCTGCCGGGAACTCCGCTGGGCTTTTCTGGGAAAGGGGCTGGTGCTGCTGCTGCAGCAGCAGGTGCTGCTGCTGCTGCTGCTGCTGCTGCTGCATCACCTCCCGCTTGCTGCTGCTGCGGCGACTGCTGCGGCGGGGACTGCTGCGGCGGCGTTTGCTGCTGCGGCGAAACTGCAGCAGGAGCTGCTGCTGCAGCAGGAGCAGCAGCAGGCTGCTGCGCCCCCAGGGGAGTGGTGTTGGCGCCCGTGGCTCCCTGCAGCGCAGCAGCAGCTGCAGCACCGTCAGCAGCAGCAGCTGCTGCTGCTGCTGCATTTGCTGCTGCTGCCATCTGCGCCCCCATCCCCACACCCAAGCTGCCAGCAACAGCAGCACTCCGCAGCGCCGTCGCGTAGTTGACTTTCAGCTGCTTCCCTGCAGCAAACAAAACACAAGCAGCTACGCTGCTGCTGCTGCTGCTGCTGCTGCTGCTGCTGCAGCAAGTGCCCTAGAAGCAGAAAGTGCCCTAGCAGCAGCAGCCGCTGCTGCTGCAGCAAGTGCCCTAGCAGCAGCAGCTGCTGCTGCAGCAAGTGCCCTAGACGCAGAAAGTGCCCTAGCAGCAGCAGCAGCTGCTGCAGCAAGTGCCCCAGCAGCAGCAGCTGCTGCTGCAGCAAGCGCCCAAGCAGCAGTGCTCCGCCCAGCCCGCGCCGGAATCGGCGCAGCCGCAAACCCTAAACCCTAAACCCTAAACCCTAAACCCTAAACCCTAGCGCACCGACGACTTCGAAGCCGTTCATAGTGTCTATGGCCAGTTTTGCTGCTTCTGGAGAAGCAAACTCTATAAAGCCGTAGCCTCTGTGCTGCTGCGGGTTTTCTTGCGAAGGCAGCAGCTGGCAGGTCAAGATGGAGCCAAAGCAAACGAATATTTTCTGCACACAAACCCTAAACCCTAAACCCTAAACCCTAAACCCTAAACCCTAGTGCGCGCGCTGCGCCGCTGCGGGGCTGCTCCTGCGCTCCCGCGCCACACAAACACCACTGACGCCTGCTGACGAGCAGCAGCAGCAGCAGCAGCATAGGCAAATGCAGCAGCAGCAGCAGATGCAAATGCAGCAGTAGCAGCAGATGCAAATGCAGCAGCAGACACAGCAGCAGTAGATGCAAATGCAGCAGCAGATACAGCAGCAGCAGATGGAAATGCAGCAGCAGATGCAAATGCAGCAGCAGCAGCAGATGCAAATGCAGCAGCAGATACAGCAGCAGCAGATGCAAATGCAGCAGTAGATGCAAATGCAGATACAGCAGCAGCAGCAGCAGATGCAAATGCAGCAGCACACACAGCAGCAGCAGCAGCAGATGCAAATGCAGCAGCAGATACAGCAGCAGCAGATGCAAATGCAGCAGCAGATACAGCAGCAGCAGCAGATGCAAATGCAGCAGCAGACACAGCAGCAGCAGCAGCAGCAAACCTTGAGGTCCTCTGAAGAGAAGCCGAAGGGCACATTGCCAACATAAATTCTGTTGCTGCCGGGGCTCGTCTCCACTTGCTTCTCGGGGGTCAGCTGCCCCATAGCAGCCAGGCTTGCTGCAGCACAAACAGCAAACTGCTGCTGCTGCTGCTGCTGCTGCTGCTGCTGCTGCTGCTGGTGTTGCTGCTGCTAATGCTGTCGCTCCTGCCACTGCTGCTGCCCGCGTTTCTGCCACGGCTACTGTTGCTGCGCTCGCGTCTGCTGCTGCTGCTGCTGCTGCTGCTGCTGCTGCTGTTGCTGCTGCTGCTGCTGCTTACCCATGTCGCCCTGAGGTGTCTGTCCAGCTCGACCAGCAAGAATGGCAGTTGCTGCTGCTGCTCCCGCTTGTGCGCTGCTGACGAGGGACATTGCTGGTGCTGCAGCAGCAAACGCAGCCAAACAGACACGTGCTGCTCTTGCTGCTGCTGCTGCTGCCGTTCCTGCTGCTGCTGCTGCTGCTGCTGTTTCTGCTGCTGCTGCTGCTTCTGCACTCACTTGCTGCTGCGCCTGCGCCCATCCCCATATCGTAGCCGCCAACTGCAGAACAAAAAGCAACAAAGAAATTGAATTCAAAATGAGCAGCAGCTTCTGCTTATGCTTGCCACTTCTGCAGCAGCTGCAGCAGCAGCAGCTGCAGCAGCAGCAGCAGCTCAAACAGCAGCAGCAGCAGCAACAATTGCAGCAGCAGGGCTCACGGGGGCGCGCTAGGAGCTGCTGCGGCTGACCTGCACCTACAGCCGTAGGCCTCCCCACTTTGATGGTTCTGCAGCAAAATAAAACAAAATAAATTAAATTAATTAAATTAAATTAATTAAATTAATTAAATTAATAAAATAAAATAAAATAAAACAAAATAAATAAACTAATTGGACTGTCTTCGAGTCAAAGCACAGAGCGCTGAGCAGCGCCCACAGGCGCAAGCCACCGGGTGTATGTACGCTGGTATGCCTTTATGTGCTGCTGCTGCTGCTGCTGCTGCTGCTGCTGCTGCTGCTGCTGTCTGCTTCTTGCCAGCCCGGGCGTTTCCTCAGGGATTGCTTAAGCCTAAACCCTAAACCCTAAACCCTCGCTCGCAACGACACAAACACGCGCTGCAGCCATTAGGGGGCCCCCAAACAAAGACGCAGCAGCAGCAGCAGCAGCAGCAGCAGCAGCAGCAAGGGGTACAGAAGCAACGGCCGAGGGGCCCCTCAAAAATAAACAAACTCGACAAGAAGCAAAACACTCGCATGCACACGACACAGCAGCAAATCCAGCAGCAGACACGTGCTGCTGCTATCTGCCTCGAGCAGCTAAATCAAACAGCAGCAAGTGCTGCCAGCAGCAGCAGCAGCAGCAGCAGCAAGCGGCCATTAGACCCAGCGAAGCAGCCAGAAGACCCTTATGCACTCAGTGAGTCGCAGGGGTCTAAAAAAGCATACAAGAGAGCCCCAAGGAGCAGCAACAGCAGCAGCAGCACGGGAGCAGCAGCAGCAGCAGCAGGGAACAGCAGCAGCAGCAGCAGCACGGAAGAAGCCAACACTGTACTTGTGCGCAGCAGCACCGGGCCATTAAAATGAAAAAAAACAAAAAGACAAAAAGCAGAAAAAAGCAAAAAAAGAAAACAAAAAAGCAAAAGAAAAACAGCAACAGCAAAACCTAACACAACCTTCCTGCTGCTGCTGCAGTGTGCTGCCGTGCTGGCTGCGGCGCTGCTGCTTAACCCACATCTGCAGGCACGCAGCAGCAGCAGCAGCAGCAGCAGCAGCAGCAAGACACAGACAAAGACAGCAAGGGCCCACAGCACAGACACATCAGACACACGCAAATGCAGCACAGCAGCAAAAGACAAAACAAGCCGCACACACCACCCTGTTGCTGCTGCTGCTGCTGCTGCAGCAGCAGCAGCAGTGGGGCACCCACCTGCCCTTCAAAACGAAGTTGTGCATTGTGCTCAGCGCCATTTGTGCTGCTTCTGGAGAGGCATATTCGACAAAACAAAATCCTTTCGAACGGTCCCCTTCCTTCGGCATGTCCACCGAAGTCACTGTGCCGAAGGCCTGCAGCAGCAGCAGCAGCAGCAGCAGCAGCAGCAGCAGCGGGAAGCAGCAGCAGCAGCAGCGGGCAGCAGCAGCAGCACAGGCGGCAGCAGAGGCGACGCGGTTCAGCTTTGCTGCGCTGGGGGGGAAGCAGCAGCTTTCTGCCTCGCTAAGTGCAGCAGCAACTCAATGCAACTTTTGCTGCAGCAGCAAGCTGCAGCAGCAACTGAATTCAACTTTTGCTGCAGCAGCAACTCAATTCAACTTTTGCTGCAGCAGCAACTCAATGAAACTTCTGCTGCAGCAGCAACTCAATGCAACTTCTGCTGCAGCAGCAACTCCATTCAAATTCCACTTTAGCTGCAGCAACTGCTGCCACAGCCGCAGCACCGAAGCAGCAGCAACAATAAAAGGAAATAAATAAATAAAAAGAAATAAAATAAAATAAAATAAAATAAAATAAATAAATTAAAATAAATAAAATAAATAAAATAAATAAAAGCGAACCTGAAAGACAGATTTGATTTCCAACTCCGTCAAATAGTAGTCCAGAGAGCCCACGTAAATTCGACACAGCTGCGCACACACACATTTGCTGCTGCTGCTGCTGCTGCTGCTGTTGCTGCTGCTGCTGTTGCTGCTGCTGCTGCTGTTGTTGCTGCTGCTGCTGTTGCTGCTGCTGCTGTTGCTGCCGCTGCTACTGCTGCTACTGCTGTCGCTGTTACTGCTGCTATTGCTGTCGCTGTTGCTGCTGCTACTCCTGCTACTACTGTCGCTGCCGCTGCTGCTGCTGCTGCTGTTGCTGTTGCTGCTGCTACTGTTGCTGCTGCTGCTGCTGCTGTTGCTACTGTTGCTGCTGCTGCTGCTGCTGCTGCTGCTGCTGCTGAGGCCTACCGACGGGTGTGGGGCCTGAGGGGAGCGGCCTGGAATGGCCATGCCAGCACCAGCCATAGCAGGGGGGTATAAGGCGCCTGCAGCACAAACCCTAAACCCTAAACCCTAAACCCTAAACCCTAAACCCTAGAGCCTGGCTCCTAGACCCTGGAGCCTCGGCCTCCGCTGCAGGCAGCTACAGTGGCAGCTGCGACAGCAGCAGCAAGCGCAGCAGCCATTGCTGCTTCAGGTGGAGCAGCAGCACCAGCAGCAGCAGCAGCAGCAGCAGCGCGCACCTGAGTTGATGCGAGAAGCAGCAGCAGCAGCAATTGCTGCTGCTGCT